TAAAAAAAAAACAAATGTTAATATAACAAATATTAAAATAATTTAAAATATAAACTAAAAATATAAAACTTATGACTATTTTTATGACACTCGTCAGCATAATAAGATTTTAGTTTTTCATATCCCATCCTTACAGCATTAATTATTTCTTTAGAATAATTATCAAAATCCACATACATAATGTTTTCTAAATGCTCAAGTAAAGGATTGTACATAGGAATAGAAGATGAAAGGGTTATATATTTAGAAGCAGACATGTATTCAGTTGCACTGTTAAAGATCTGAAAAGTTGGTATGTAAATTATAATATATATCATAATCAATTAAATAATAATTAACTAAACAAATTATATATCAATTAAATGATATACTTGAAACACTTTGCATAATTGATTCACAATTTCCCATTTATTATCTTCAATATAATATTCAGATAAATCTTTATCAAGTAAAGTTATTTCATTCAAAGGCTATATAAATGAATATCATTTTAATAAATATTTATTTTAATTGAATTAATAAATTTTAATCATCACTTCTTTGAATTCAAAAGCTTGTTTTAACTTTTGGAATGTCAAATTCCAATGAATCTTTGTATCCAGAATTAAATTAAATGTTTTATTATTTGTTTCACATTGATGGGAAAATTCTTCCCTTTGTTGAGGTGAGGATCTTATTTTTGCAATTAATTTCCTTAACTATATATAACAATAATAATAATTATTATTTATTTATATAATTTTATTAGAATAAAAAATTTTAAATCTACCTTGGGTATTATTTCAACTGCATTATTATCATCTCCCAATATTTGATTTTCTTCTTGTGCTTCACTAGCTTTTATATGTTTTAATATCTTTTGAGTTGTGAGATTCATGACATGTGCCAAGCAACATACCTGATTTTTCTTATGATGGGAGTCTATAAAATTTTCTTCACAATAATTTTCAACAGTTTTAAGAAATGTTTCATTGTTTGCAGCATTATCTGCTGAGACAGCAAGAATCTATTATAGTAAATTATTTTATTAATTAAATATTAAAAAAATCATAGTTGTATATTTTACATACTTTGGTTAAAATATTCATATCACAAGTGCTGTTTAAAAAATAATTGGCTATATTTTCACCAGAATGTGCACCACAAATGTATATGAAATCAAGAAGATTTTTGATATTCCAATCATTGTCAAGATAATGACAAGTTATTGCTAAGAATGGCAAAGCATTCAATGATGTCCACATATCTACAGCGAAGCTTATTTTTCCAGGTATGCTCTAGTAAAAATTAGGATTTCTGGTCGAAACTGCTTCTATTAGTAGCCGAAATTGCCCAAATACTTTGGGCAAAAATTATTTTTTTATCCCTTAAACGGTTAATCAGCTATTGATAGCCGATAAAATTTTTCTGATATAAAAAATTTTTTCGAAAATGATCTTTGAGATTCAGCCGATTAATCTATAAATAAAAATCCAGTTGTTGTCCTTGTGGTTTTTGTAAAATC